TTGCAGCACAATGTTTCATTTTGTGGGAACAAGCAGTGTTGTCTTGCGGGAAAAGCGGATGACTGATCTCCCACTTTGAAAAGTCGACTCCATCAGCAGTGAAAGCTAAAATCTCTGTACCATCAGCCAGGATTCTTTCGTCAATGAATACCTTCTTGCTATAAAGCAAATTGATGCGCTCTAACCAGAGATAGAAATGTTGCCCACAACAGTAGTCCTTGCAAATCTTGAAGCGCGAGGCAAGGACGGATGCATTTTTCGGTTTTGTCCACAACCAAAAGTGGGCCATGAGGAACCTTTTCACGCCACGCTCTGTTTTCTCAAGTTTTGAAAGTGGTAGCTCTTCAACGAGAATAAGATCATTCCACTGGTGAGCCAAGACAGTTGAGGAGGATCCATAGTGCTTGTGGAATTCTTCCCTGATTGTCTCTTCTGTCTTTCGTCCTCTTTCGAATCCGACAAATGACAAACCCAGACATTGGATATCCGTTGAAGTGAAGATCATATTGTACTACTCCCAACCAGATTGAGAATATTGTGAATGTAGCTTTGTAAGAAAAGAAAAAAAGGCGATGAGACTGATGAGGTTGGCTTATCTTGTATCGCTTTTTTTGGCCGTTGGCGGTGCGCATCCCGTATTATGATGGATCCACATGATGTCAGATTTTGTGAAACCGTTCTCACATTTATTGGATCACGCGTACAATTTCCTCACAAAATCTGAAAATATGCCCCCGAAACAAGCCGAAAAAGGAAAACAAATTAGGTTCGTCAGCGGAACCTACCTTGGTAAGACAGGATGGCTCAATACCGCTGCATCAAAGAAAGGGCTTTTCAAACGAAGTGTCATAGTTGACCTTGGTGACGACGGAGAAAAAGTCACCAGTGTGATGAAGTTTTCGTTCCGCGATGCATTCAAGAAAGTGAAAACGTTTGAGCAAGCCCTCATGAAGCAGCACCCAGACATTGAAAATGAGATGGTCACGCTCTGCCGTCATTTGTCTGAATGTTACAATTTGAATGGTGATGCGATGGCTGCCTACTTCAAGGAAGAGTTGAGGATTGCAGTAACTGAGCATTTGTCTCGCGGTGGTAAAGCCAAGTTTCGTCTAGTTCAATTTCCAGAGGATGACGACACCAAGATGCATGCGGTGTAACTTTGTTTATGAAATTACTAAGATGTTTAAGTCTAATACTTTAAGCTGTTTACAGCTAAATCTATACTTTCTTGTTCTTCTGCTGAGCAGTCTTGTTGGATGCCGATCGTAAGCTCTTCTTCCTCCGTTTGGAATCTTGTTCAATACTTTTCTCCCTCATCTCTTCTTCGCGCTTTCGCTTCTTCCGTTCCTTTTCTTCTTGTTTCTCCCTTTTCTCCTGTTCCTTGGCAAGCTTCTTTCGCTCCCTTTCTTCTTGCTTCTCCCTCTTTTCTTGCTCCTTGGCATGCTTCTTCCGTTCCCTTGCTTCTCGCTTCTCCCTTTTCTCGTGCTCCTTGGCAAGCTTCTTTCGCTCCTTTTCTTCTTGCTTCTCCCTTTTCTCTAGATCCTTCAAGAGTCGAGTATGTTCCATCTCTTGTTGCTTGGCTTGTTGCTTCTCTTTTGTTGCAAGTTCCTTCTGTTTGGCTTCCACGAATAGCCGTCTCTTTTCATTCCTTTTGTGGTCCATGTAGTTGCACAGTTTCACAAATTTCCTCTCTTGATAGACTCTTCGCCGAAAGACGTCATAATCAAAATCCAAGTATTCCAATCGAGATCCCCAGAGCATGAGTATTGACTGTTTTATGTCGTCTCCATTGGCTACATCTTCTCGTAGGAGTTGGTGAGCATCCGTGAGGTGGAATTTCAGCTCGCCCCTAGCATTGTGGGTCCTCACAGGATGAATCTTCCTATCATGCTTCATCCAAGCCTCTTCTTGTTCACATCTTGCTCTCCTCTTCTTGCCCCTATTTGAAGCACTGTCATAGCGGGCATGAAACTGAGAAAAGACGACGTCTTCAAATTCAGGTTGTGTTTCCTTGTAAATGTTGAAGATTATTTCCGATGAAAGATCCTCCATATCGCCATATAGCCAGCCCCCACGATCCATATCTTCCTCCATTATTTCCTTTGCGGCACTGTTTTGCCAGTCGATCCATCCTGTCTTGTCTACCGATGCTTTCGTCATTCCGAAGAAATATATTGAAAATGTGAGCGAGTTGGTCGTTGAACTTCGTCGCGCCAGCCCTTCTTTGAAAAAAATACCGTTGTGTCAAGCGAAACTGCCATTTTTTCCGTTTTGATGGATCAGAGGGAAAGAATCAAGTTCCAAAGCAAACCCACGAAAAGGTGCACGAAAATTCATCATGTTGCGCTGCCGAAACAATTGCCACAAATGCAATGTCGTCGGACGAAACAAAAGCCAAGGAGAAAGCACCACCAGTTGTGAAAAGCCACGTTCAAAAGGACTTCATTCAGAGATTAGAGGCATCTGGACAACTCAGAAGTGATATTTCCACGCAAGGTATTTTCAACGCCGATAAAGGTCAGTTTGGAGAACCAGGATCTGCTGTAAGACGGTTTCTTCAATTCGAATTCAAGAACATCCAACAGAAGTCACCAAAGGCCTATCTTGCTTACTTGGACAAGTGGAAAGTTACACCAGGTTTTGCGTTCCGAGCAGAGCTCCGAGAATACCTAGCTGAGGAGGCACGAGCAAAGAAGAAGAAAGGGAACAAGACTGTTGAAGATACTGCTTCCGCAACGCAAGCCACCTCGGAGTTAACCCCCTCAGAGAGTGTCGACAAGGATTCTGACGACGAAAGCATCAACGACGATAAGAAGAGTGTCGACGACGACGAGACTCCCGATAGCAACTCTTCCTCTACCAACGAGAGTCCAGAGGAGGATCATATCACCAGCGAGCCCTTCAACAAACAAGAAGCCACCAACAGCACTATCAAAGATAAACGAACCCCGAAGAAGATCGCATTTGAAGTAGAA